TTGGAGTGTGGGAAGAACTTCAGGCAGAACTGTCACCTTGTGAAACATGAAAGAATTCACACAGGAGAGAAACCATATCAATGTCTGGAGTGTGGAAAGAACTTCCGTCAGAAAGGTGGTCTTTTCCGACATAAAAGAATTCACACAGGGGAGAAACCTTATAGGTGCCTGGAGTGTGGAAAAAGCTTTGGTGACAACAGTAGCCTTTTCCGACATAAAAGAATTCACACAGGGGAGAAACCATATTACTGCAAAGAATGTGGAAAGAGTTTCAATTGCAGCAGTTACTTTATTTGTCATAAAAGGATTCATACAGGAGAGAAACCATATAAATGCCTGGAGTGTGGAAAGAGTTTTAATAAAAGCAGTTGTCTTACATCTCATAAAAGAAAGCACACAGGAGAGAAGCCATATAAATGCAGAGAGTGTGGGAAGAGATTTTCGTATAGCTTTGACCTCAGATATCATCAACGAATTCACACGGGGGAGAAACCATATAGGTGCCCGGAGTGTGGAAAGAGCTTCTGCAAGTACACTGACTTTATTCGCCATAAAAGGATCCACACAGGAGAAAAACCATACAAATGCCTGGAATGTGGAAAGAGCTTCACTCAGAACGGAAACCTTATTACACATAAAAGGATTCACACAGGAGAGAAACCATACAAATGTACACAGTGTGGGAAAAGCTTCAGCCAGAAAAGTCATCTTTCAAAACATGAAAGAATCCACACATGAGAGAAACCGTAACAAGTATGTGGACTGTAGAGTAACAGTCATTTGGAAGAGTAGCATTATGAGACCTAAAGGAATCCATGTGGGAGAACTCTGAAAATGCCATGTGTGGGACAAGATTCAAAAGGGGCACTACCCTTATTTCCCATAAGAGGTCTCATTTTGGGAGGAATGTCTGGACTGTGGAGAAAGGTTCAGGACCAGCAGTGGAATAGATTTGGTAAAGAAAAGTGTTGAATGGAATATGTGAAGGAGGGGAAAAGATTGAAAGAGCCCCAAAGA